ATATAAACTTCTAAACAAAAGGAATCAGAACCAGCCAGCGCCTGAATGAAGCGCTACACATCTGGGATTGGAAAAAACTTTACAAACATCCCCTAGTAAAAACACAGCGGAATGAAAGCAAATAAAATCACCACGTGACAAGCATTAGGGAACCACAGATTATTTTTCATGCAAAATATTAGATGAATCATAATAGATAACATATTTTAAGGATTTTTTCACCGACCATGCAAGACTAAATACGTAGGTGAAAACTAGCAAATGTATATGTATAGACATACATGCTGTGACATGTTTTTAACCTGGACCTAGCATGTTAATAAATGCAGATTTCTAATTTCGGAATTGTTGCTAGATATCTGTAAACAGTTTGCTTACATGGACTAACACATTTGAATTCATTCCCATTGCTGACTGCGACTCTCCAGCAGGAGCCCCTGATGCAGAACAATGACACAATCTGAGGCTAAATTAAACTCTGTGTATGTCCGGGGATTTACAATGGACCTCAATCAAAACCCATCCTTTGTCCTTATCCAGAGTATAATGAACATCTAAGCGCACTTGAAAGTACGCGTCTGAAGAAATGATTAATTAGATTAAAACAATGGAAGGTACAGAGTCACAAGCAGAGCCAGTGGGGGTGGGACACATGGTCCCTTTCTTGAGAACTTGCTAACCCCCTGATTATACCTGAAGCCACAAATCCATTAAGAACAGCTACATCAGATTCCCATCCATCAAAATTTATATGCAGTCATGTCTTCACAGGCCCAGCATGCAACACAGTTTAAGTCCACATAGGTCCAACGCCTGTCTCTGAGTCCCCCATTTTCGGCAGTCATTTGTTGTGAACGCGAAGATTGACTGTGAGGATTCCTGCTGCTCATGGTAAGAAAAAAGGTTGCATTGCAAACTACTTCAGGGTTGAAGGGGGAAGAGGAGAAAAAGAAAGCATTGTGCCTGGGGGGAAAAATCTGTAGCTAACAACTGTATTGTTTTTTCCTGCACTACTTGTTTCTCGTTTCAAAATATATTATATAGACATTTCCACTTCTGAATGACCTGGGTCTCTGCTAGAAAAAGGAGCTGAGTTTGAGAGAAAACGATGCCCTGTATTACTAGTGCAGTTTGTGGTTTCTAATTATTTAGCTCCATTACTTCTGTGGTGTTTTAAGAAGGATCCAAATCCCTTCATGCTGCAGTCACATATTGCCAAATAATGAGTTGTTAGACATGGAGTTCTTATTCGGCAGAATTCAATGCTGCAGATTTTGAATGGAAGAAGACAATCATTCAGAAAAAGATCACAAAGGATATCTGAATGCTCTTGGCGATTGTAATTTTAGCCTCACATGATCGTAGGTTCAAATAATTGTCTCTGGGGGTTCCTGAAATGCAGACTACACGATGTACAAACAGCATGATCTTCAAGAAGTCACGGTGTAAATTCACCTGCAATACAATTTATAACATCCCTGTGCTTAGGAGACATCACCACCTCACAATGCATCTCGAGTGACTGAAACTTGTAGCTGTCACTTTGCCACTACTCGATGACAGCGGAGTTGGGAGCGCTCAACAGCTTCTGCATTTCCTTACAGGTGAAATGCTTCCACGTGACTGTCAGCAAAAGCAACACTCCCCATTGAACAAAAAGTGATGGTCTGCACAGTTTCTGGGCTTTTCTCATTCAATTTTCAAACTGAAAAAGCTCAACAGAGAGGGAAGTCCCACAAACACCGGGTTGCAAAAAGCAGCTGTGTTTTTTTCTGTGTGCACTGCATTATTTTGTCGTTCCCATTCTCACCGTAAACACCGCAAACTGATTGATTTCAGTATCACCAAAACCCACTGGGTCGCCTCTGCTCCAAATATATATCTAGAATATTCCCCACCAAGGATGCTGGAGGGCTGCTCACATAAGTCTGGATCAGTAAATTAAACTGGTCGCCACACGCTACCTGATTCACACCTACCCTTCAGGTGGATTCAGTGTGATTGCTCTTGGCAGTCTTCAAGATAAAGTGGAGGTGGGGATTTTGTTATAGATTGTACAGCAGACTGACTCGTGTAGTTCTCTTTAGTTTGCTCTCTGATTCAAACTTAAGTGGTGAAATCTATAAGGCGGCCTGTTAAAATTGTACATTATAGAGAAACTGGAGGCAGAGGTTTGCATTGTGTACGACTTTTTGTCACCACCGTTTATTAATGAAGAATCCCAATTAAAAAGCCACTGCCTAAACATGACTCTAATAGAGCTTAATATGCATATATATAGAATGAGTCTTGTTTTAATTTACACTATCACTGATTTGAAATGTTTGATTGACTCCAATATACTGCATCTCGGTAGCCACACTTATCACCGAGTTTCAAGTCAGATCAGTGTGCAGAAAGACAGGCAGACAGAGTGAATGAGTGTCTGTAAAAGAATACTAGATACGGAAAAGGGGAACCTTTCAAATAAACAACGAAAAACAAAACTTGAAACGTCCTCCTGACTTCAAGGATCGGGAGCTTGAAGAGAGGACAGCATGATCTTTGCAAACGAGGCATTGGAAATCATTCCACCTCAATGGTGCTGCATTCTCTGAAAACTAATGAAACCATTAACCAGTTTAACTGTAAATCTGACCAGAAAGGTCCAGCAAATTAATATGACGTCATTCATTTGCAGGAAATTATTGAAAGTCCTGACTTGGTGATTTACTTTTTCGCATGAATCTAGTAACATAGGATATCCTCTCCAAACACTAGCAAACACCAGAACTTTACACCAGAACGTGACCCGTGACCTATCACACTCTATTCCGTAAGGAACTATGAATGCATTTAATGCACCTCGTTGTTTAATTGCTCTCTTTTTCTCCCTCAACATACACCACACGTCCTATGCTTTCCAATAGTGCTTTCTTTCCCCAAACATAACAATCCTCATGGGGGGTGGGGGGGGGAGGGGGGGGAATCCTCCCTATTTACTGCAATAACGTGAGTCAAACAGCGATGAAATAATATTCTGGCTGTATTTTTTTGCTTTTCTTTTTTTTTGCTTGTTTGCTAAAAAAAAGGAACGTGTGCAGTTTACGACCCCCACAACGTGCAATTGGCAATTTCCCATTTCTTATATATATATATATATATGTGTGTGTGTGTGTGCACTGACACACTGCACAGAGCCACTCGAGGTGGTGTTTGCTTTTCCCTGGTCCGGTGGGGTGGCTTCCAAGAGATGGCGATAGGTCGGTTTTTGTTATTCCGCCGGAAAATTCGAGGCGGGCGATAGGCTGTGGTCGGGACTGACGTCCCTGTGCTCCCAGGAGGTGTGTTGGTGGATTTCGTGCTGTCACTAACACATGTAGCTGCAGCAGGGAAAGCGATCGGCCACGTTCAAACACACTCAGCCATCAAGCTCGACTCAAACCTTCTCCCCCCCCCCCCCCCACCAACCTCAACCCCAACCCACCACCACCCACCCCATCTCTCTCTCTCTCTCTCCTCCTCCTCCTCTTCCCAGCCTCAACTTTATTCCCGTTCTTGATTTACAGCAACTAAGTCAGTCCCGGGAAGGTTCCCGCAACGTCCGAACCGAACGTGCAAGAGAAGTTAACAAGTGGACGTATTATAAAGAGCAACAAAAAAAAAGAGAAGAGGACTCGGGACAATTCGCGATCGTCACTATAAACCCGAGACGCGATCCTGCGCTATTTACCTACTCCCCCACCACCCCCACCCCCCCCACCCCTCACTCCTCCTTCCAGCGGACTGAGACAATTCTATCCACATTTTTAAAAAAAAAAAAAAAATTTTTTTGTTTTGTTGTTGTTGCAAAAAAAAATCGACAGGAAAAAAAACCCACGGCTCTGAAACACAACTGTGCAAAAGGGGAGACTTTGATTGGATTCTTTTCGATCGGTGAAATCCGGACACGTCTCTCTCCCTCTCTCTCTCTCTCTGTCTCCTGAAGATCATCGGAAAGATCTGATAAGCAGTCAGTCGGTCGGTCGCTTTTTTTCTCCCCCCCCCCCTATAATCTTTTTTTTAAAAAAAATTAAAACAAATTAAAAGAAAGAAAAGAGAGGAAAAAAAAACAGTACCTATCCGAGCGGGGAAAAAAAAAGGTAAGATTGCAGTTGCTTTCGATTTTTATGCATGTGTGTGTGTGTGTGTATGTGTGTGTATGTGAGTGTGTGTGTGTGTGTATATATATGTGGACACACACACAATTTTCTCGTCCGTCTTAAACCTACTAAAAGGCTCTCTTTTGATGCTGCTCGTGAAATGCACGGCGTCCCAGCTCGGTTTGCTGGAGGACTTGGGAGGGGGGGTGTTAGTGGTCGTGTGTTCTCTCCCCCCCTCTTCTCTCCCCCCCTCTCCTCTCCCCCCTCTCCTCCCCCCCTCTCCCCCCTCTCCCCCCTCTCCCCTCCCCGCAGCTGCCTGGCCCACTCCACTCCCTGCTTTCTCTCTCACTGACTCCAGCCCGAGCCCCGCAGTTTGCAGCGCCGTGTAATTACTGGTGTAAAGCGCATTTAAGTTAAAAGCTTTTTTTTTACTCTGAACGAAACTTGATGAGGGGAGGGAGGGAGGGGAAGGGAGGAGGGCCCCGGTGCTCGGTATCTGGGGACTCGCTGACTTTCTTTCTGGCCATTCCTTTGATTCATCTCCTCGGATTTAATCAGCCCAGGCCACCGCTGCCCTTCTCTTAAGAGCATCACTAATGGGTGGTGGTAGGGGGGGGGGGGGGTTAATGGCTGCTTTATTCTCCTCCACACCCCCACCACCACCACCACCCAGTGTAACATTGGGTTTTCTTATTTACCTTTTCCCTGATATTCGTGCAGCCCTGCGAGCAGTCTGCCTTTGCAGGTTTTTTTTAAAAAAAGAGAAACCTGAAGCGATTGAACATCAGGCACATGTGCAGGGCAGCTAAATCGTTCCCTCTCCCTCTTCCCAACCACTACTACCAACCCCCCCCCCCCCCTCCTCTCTCTCCCTCCCTCCCCCCCCTTTCCCATGGCTTTATCAGGAGCCGCATTCATCTTGAAATGACACCGAAGAAGCCACAGCCGCGTCCAGATTAGTGATCAAGGACAGATTATAGCAGACTAAACACAGGTTTGCGTAACAGGTTAACAAGGCTCCTTAATTGGGGAGTGGGGGGTGGGGGGGGAGAGTGGGGGGTTCGCTTTCCCGAGCTGCAGGGTCGGCCTCGCCGTGGCCTGACTCCTCTCTCTCTCTCTCTCTCTCCCCCGATCCAAGTCCTGCGGAATCTATTGCTGAAACACGTTGGTGTATTTTTATTTTTTTTTGGTTTTTTTTTTTGCTTCCGTCTGTGTGTGTGTGTGTGTGTTTTGTGACTGTAGAAAGAAGGGGTGGGGGGGGGGAAAAATCGAGAGGAGTTTTTTTATATATATATATATATATAACCCCTCCACCACCCCCTACCCCACCACCACCACACACGCACAAAAAGATGGTGAACAACGGGAGCTCGCAGACGCCCACAGCCGGCGTGAACCGCGCTGGTTTGGCTTGGAAAACGTGTGCGGGATGTGGGGGCAAGATCGCCGATCGCTTCCTTCTGTACGCCATGGACAGCTACTGGCACAGCCGCTGCCTCAAGTGCTCCTGCTGCCAGGCACAGCTCGGGGAGATCGGCACCTCTTGCTACACCAAGAGCGGCATGATCCTGTGCAGGAACGATTACATCAGGTAACAAAAAACACGCACACACACACATGCAATGCACACATGCACGCCACACACACACATACATACATACACGCCACACACACGCACACACCGCCACACGCACACATGCACCCACCCACTCACTCACTCATTCAGCTCCTCTCTCTCTCTCTCTCTGCTCTTCCCATATTCCTCCCAACTTTGCAAGCATCGCTTTCCTGAAGTGTGGGGATGGTGGGAGGGAAGGAGGGAGAGGAGGGAGGGAGGGAGGGAAGGAAGGAAGGGGGGAATGTGGGCGCTTCAGCATTTCACCAGGACGCCGACTCCCCTTATTTACAGCTTTGTTTATCTGACAGAGCAACGCACTCTGGAACGACTCCCAATCTTTTACTCGATCAAAGCTTTTTTTTTGGGGGGGGGGACACACTCAGGGACGTTCACCCCGCGCTCAATCCCCCTCCTTTACAAATAAATCTCCAGTTAGTTCATATGAACAGTGACCACCTCCAGTCCTTATGAACTGTTACGTGATCGTTCCGATCCCCTTGTTTTTTTTTCGCGGAAATCTTTTTGTGGGGGTGGAGGGGGGGGGAAGAGACTTTTTTTTATTTTTGTCTGGGGGGGGTGGGAATTGAATTGCTCACAACTTGACGTGGGGTTGTTGTGTCACACACTGACTGACTGGGCTCCCTGGCCTTTGCTGGACACATTCACTGAGAGTAATTGATTCACAACTGTTTAAAACGTCACTGGGTAAACAGTTACTTACCCTCTTTGCAAGGTCCAGATTTGCCTATCGTTGAAAGTAGTGTCGTGGGGCGGGTGTGTGTATGTGTGTGTGTGGGTGGGGGGGGGGGGGGGGGGTTGAACATCGTCTCATTAAATGACTGCAATCATTTTAAGACCTTTTAACGTGAGGTCCATGGAATTCAAAACGACCCTTGAAAAGTGTTAAAACCTAAGTCTGTTCACACCCAACACCCCCCCTCCCCCTCCTCCTCCGTCCAAACGCGCTCCCGGAAGGTCGGGGAAATCAAATGAGGTTAAAGATCCCACAAGGAATTAAACATATTGCACGTTTAATTAAACTTTGCATCCATCAGATTAGCAAAGGGCGCAGGTTGGTTGAGATTTAAGTTATTGGGGCGGATGGTCGCGAAGTAGTTGTTGGCTTTTCAAGAACATTGGCCCTCCCTCTCTCTCTCTCTCTCTCACACACACACACACACACACACAAACACACGAATTATTGTAAAATGATGAAGTTTGGTATTTTAGAAAGTAACCTTCTTCCTGCCACGTGACTCTGGCTCCAATCATCTAAATGGACCGGGAGTACAAGGATCACATGTCAAAACTTTTCAAGGGATTAAACCTTTCATTTCTGTAAGTGTTTTTTTTGAGGTTGAGGTTTTTTTTTGGGGTGGGGGGGGGGGGGGGGAGGTTGCAACGTGTCGAAACAAGTGATTTCAGTGATGTAAATTAGAAGTGCTCGAATACGCCTGTGTTGTTTTTTTTGGGGGGTGGGGGGGGGGGGGTGGGGGGTAGGTGTGTGTGGGGGCAGATTGCGTTAAACTACTGTCAGTTTAGTTGCTGCTGTGAATTTAGTAGCAATAAGCTTGTCAGACACCTCATCAAAGAGCCTAAAGCGGTGCCAAGAAAAGCTCGATTGCAGCTCGATAGAGAAATAATTGAACAAGTGCGTTTGGGTGGGTGTTTTTTTTCTTCTTCTGCTGCTGCTGCTGCTGCTCTTTGCCAATGCAGGTTTCGTTCAGATAATGGTGTCTGTTCCTTGGCTGTTCCTTAATGGATCCCGGGACTAATTAGAAAAGCCAGGATCTGCACCTTTGGGCTTCTAATGAGCGCTGGTTCGTGGGAGAGAAGCTGCCAATGTCCCAGGCTCGACTCCGAGCCTCAGATCTGCTAAGATAAGGGAATCGGCACAATTAACAGCTTTAATTAGTGTCCCCCACACTCTCCCCCCCCCACACCCCCCCCCCCCTCTTTCCTTCCCTCCTTTTTATTTTTCCCGATTTTTTAAAAAAAATCTAATGATGAGATATTAAACCGAGGTCGGGATTGGTGAGCTATTATCTATGACTGGTCAGCAGAAGAGACTGACATGAATCGAGCCGCCAGTGCGAAGCAACAAAACATTTAATTAAGAAAATTGTCTTTTGAGGACGGGATTATTACCAGAGCTCGGATGGCGCTGGTGCTCTCCTTTAATTCCCAGGCACGGAAATTAAATGGATCTCTCTCTCTGTCTCTGTCTCTGTCTCTCTCTCTCCCTCTCTCTCTGGCTCCCCTCTCCACTCAATTCTGGACGTGCGAGGTAAACCTAATAGTTCGTTATTTAATATCACTTTGAAGTCTGCGCACTCAAGCACAGTGACAGCAGACGAGCACAAGAACTATTAGCGAGCAAAAAAAAAACTAGTATTTCAAAAATTAATTAAATCGCATGCAATTTAGGGGGACGTTTATCTTGATTTGTCATAACAGAATTAATTCAAGGCCTTCAATTCACTTGGGGGCATATCTGTTACTCTAAATTAACCAAGCGTAATTTGCCCCCCCCCCCCCCCCCCCCCTCTCTTGTGCGTCTCTGTTTTTTTTTGCTTGTCTTTATTTTTCTCGTGTGTCTCACAGCCCTTTGCCCCCTTTCTCCAGTGCCCCAATAGAAATTATGCAAAGAGCGCCACTTTGTGTATCCATATCTTGTGCTGCTATTAAAACGCTTGAAGAGTTTCCATCTCATTTGGGGGAACTCTGGCTTGATGTTGTGATTGATCGAATTGCCGACATGTTGAAATATTAACGACCTCTTCGACTTGGAGTCGCAAAGAAAATTGAAAGCAATTTTCGGTCGTCAGTCTGAGAGAATTTCTTTTTTGGAAAAAAAATAATATCCTGCTTTAATTAGTTGACGCTGGGGGTAGAGCTGTCCCTAACCAACCTCCTCGCAATAGTTAAAAAGGAGTGGGATCATTAAAGTCCCAAGTCAGACTGATAGGGACTTAATTGAGCACCTCAGCCCTTGAGCCTCCATCAAAGAACAGTAAATGAACTTGAGGAATCCCCTGTTCCGCGTATTTACATTCGAGTCACGTAGGGCCCAAAGTGAAAACTTTAGGATAGTGTTACACATTTGGCCATGAACGCTCTTTACAAACTAACTAACCCGCTCCCCATCTGTCCAGCTCTCCCAACATCATTGGTAATTGCCCCCGAAATGACAACATTCTTCTCAAACCCAGAGACCATTTTCCAGGTTTTACATTCAAATAAAAAAAAACAATCTAGTTTCCCAGCCTGGTGCTGGTTAGGTTCCCCCCCCACCACCACCCCATCCCATCTTGATTATTTATTTCACTAAATTTTTGGTTACTTAGCTGGAACTCCTTTCAGATAATCTCCTGATACGATCATTTCTCTCTCTCTCTCTCTCTCTCTCTTGAGATTTCTATTTCTGAATGCCCGGGACTGTTATTTTAATTAAGCTTCAACGCGATTGTAAAACCCAAGTCTGCATAGGCTGACTGTCCCTCCCGCAACAAAATCGCCTTGGACTCTCCACCATTTGTCTTAATGATGAGGTTTGGAAATCTTGAGATGCTGTTTCAGCGTATTGCAGCATCAACTGCCCTGTGCATGTGTGTGTGTGTGTGTACACACGTCTATAAAGCTTTAGGCAGATAACATGGAAAGAAAACAAACCATCCTGGCCTCACCATTTTAATACCCTGGATTGCACTCTTACTTTGTTTTCTCCTCTATTCATTCCCATGGGTTGTTTCCAATAAATTAGGAGGTTTGCTGGGTCACAGTACAAAATGTACCTGGTGACCCCGCTTTTTATTCCTGGGGGGGTAGTTGGGGGGTCTTATTCTTTCCAGATGACGGAAAAGCATCTCCAAAAAGGTTCGAAACACTTTATTTTTGGGGGGAAAAAGCCCTGGCACCTACCGTTTGGGGAGTTCATAATTCAGTTTGTTGGCTGAATTAGTTGAGTGGTACAGGGTTTTCTTTGAAGCCCGTTTTATAAGCTATTATAATTCTGCAGCTAAGTGTCGATGTGTCGTATCTAAACTAATTAGTTTTGAAATGGAGTTTTGATTGAACTCTTGAAATCGATGCTGGTGCAAAATTTGTTTCTCGGGCTCCCTATTAAACGCTATCTTAGCGGGCAGTTTTACTACTCGTGGTGTCGTTCTGTCGATACATTTAATAACAACGCAGAGGGTATTTTCAATAAAGTGTCGACAGCGAATTAGTACATTTCGACATGACAAGGCGCCTCTGCAGGCTTTAAAGCTAAGAGCACACCAATTACGTGTTTTTATATATAGAAGAGCTATGCATTCAAACAGATACATCTGGAAAAGCCAAGTGTAATTGGAGAATTATTGTTTTATTTATTTATTCGCTTTAACGTCTCCCTTGACTCGCCCACCAGATGCTTTTAGTCTCATTTCATTACATACCGAAAACTCGAATGTTGCGTGGAGGAGAGCGATGACAAATGGCACCAGATCCCAGTAAATTACTTTCTGGTCAGATCGAAATTTCATTCAGTTTGTTACTAACGTCGAAGAGACAAGATGAAGTCATCTGAATTGTGGGGACTCTGAGCAGATAAGGAAGTTCGAACAAACATTTCATTATCGAGCAGCAGCTCTTCGAGGATAAAAGAGAGAGAGAGAGATGATCACAGCCAAATCTAAACTGTTGACATTCTGGCTGAGAAAGTTAACCCTCGTTCATTATATATCGACACCAAACAGATCCGCTTATAATGGGAAACTGTTAGTGTTTCAGGGAGAGAGATAGTTTGCGAGAAAACAACCATCTATTAATGGACGTGAAGTGTAAACTGAAACTGGTGTAGAGTTCCTTGGGAGAGGCGCAGGGAGAGAGGGAGGGAGACTCGTTTCAAAACAAACCAGGTTACATACATGGTCTTATGCGGTTATGAGGACCTGGTTACTGATCAACTTATCTCTATCGCTAACACGACCTTGGCTTAGACTGGTGGTTGGGTGGATCCTGAGCATTACTTTTCATGGTTAGATCTCCTTGTGGAGCTTCATTGCTCATTGAAATATCGACCAGGAGGATGTTGATCTGCCTCACTATCTGTCAGTGGTGGGGCTGCCATTACATCTTTTGGCGCAGGGGACAATAAATACAGTAACTTACTAAAGATACAGGGTCACGAACCACCCCCCCCACCCCCTCCAATAGCTGCAGGAAACTTTGCGGATAACGGAGACCTTTATAAATGAAAAATAAAATGTTTCTTGAGACTTTCCCTGAAAATAAACATAAGCCGTTCCGAAAAGTGTTGGGACGAGTAGGGCGTTTGGGGCGATCATCTTTGGATGAATACGTTTCTTGGGACTCTCAGCCGCTCTCCCGCACACGCAATGCAATGCAATGCAATGCAAACAGTGCTCTACGGGGCGTCGTGTTTTTTCTCTCCAGGTAATGACCGGATAAGAAGTGTTAACGCATTAATGTTTTTTTCTCTCTCTCTCTCTGTAGATTGTTTGGAAACAGCGGGGCGTGCAGTGCATGCGGGCAATCCATCCCCGCCAGTGAATTGGTCATGAGGGCACAGGGCAACGTCTATCATCTCAAGGTAACGGCTTCTCTCATCGTTCTCTTAACAAGAAATTAGGAACCACAATTACTACCGTAACCCCCAGGATCCGCACATCGCCACTGTAATCCTTATCGATCAGAGACACAAAGCAAATTTCTACAGTGCGCTCGTCCGTTGGCCTCTTCATTGAAATAAGTTATGGCAGTGCACCACAAGAAGGTGTTTCGAGTTCATCGCATGCGATAGACCAGTTTATTTTATCGCCAGTTTTAGCGTGTGTGGATAATTGAGAGTGACAAAAGGTCTCCCTTTTTTTCTCTCTCTCTCTCTGACAGTGCTTTACCTGCGCCACTTGCCGGAATCGGCTTGTCCCTGGAGATAGGTTTCATTACATCAACGGCAGTTTATTCTGTGAACATGACAGACCCACATCCCTTATCAATGGACATTTGAATCCACTTCAGAGCAATCCTCTACTATCTGATCAGAAGGTAAGCATAGGCTTTGCACTGGATGGGGTGTGTGTGTGTGTGAGTTATTCCCCTCTCCTCTCTGGCTCACTTGGGAAGTGAATAAATTGCCCCATTGCTCCGAATCTCTTTAGATATATGTATGTATATATATATATATATAGTCCCAGAATATATATTCCGACTCTTTTGTGTTTCAGGTATTTATTCAAATGTATTTCAACGCTTGTTATTTATGGAGATTATAAAATGGCCCTAATACTTGTAGGGTGGAAAATACTAATTGGACCACGGATTGTGGACATTCAATAAGCAAATTCCAAGGCAAATCGTTTATTATAATCTAATAATTATTTCCAAGATGGTGCTGCCTGCCTCCTTTTTGGAGCGGTACTGTAAGTCAGATGTTTAGGCAGGGTAACTATGAGTCTTTCTAACCGTTACTCCTTTCTAACCGTTAACCGTTACCTGGCTTCTATCCCAACCCATCGTTAAATACAACTAAACACTGGACCTATGTTATGACAGGACTCAAATCTGCCCCCAACACCCACCCACCACCACACAAAAAAAAATATAGACAGCGATATTGGGAAAAGTTTGAGAAACAGTTTAGTTTTAATCGTGATTGTTGTGATCTGAAATACAGTTACATTTTACACAATACAGGTATACATTTGCACATGCCAGTACAGTACTTCAAACGAATTCTGCAACACTTCCCGGTTATCTTTATCTTCTAAAGGGGTTTTCAGTTCCAAGGAGTTTAAAATTAATCCTTTTCCCACCAGAAATGAGATTTTTGGATTGATAAAAGGTGTGTAAGCAGCTATACCCATACTTTTGCCCAATATGTTGTGTCTCGAACATCAAGCTCCAGTGATTCGCAAACCCTATAAAGAGAATCACTCAACAAAATGAAACGGCATTGTTCAATGTTTCTGGTAGTTAACCGTTAATGCCCCAATGCACATTTCCCCTGTGATCTGAATATTTGGCTAGTTGCATTAAACATGTGGAGGTCAACAATCCCATTATTCTTTCTTATTAATTTATTGCAAATATCGTTGGTATTTTTTGTGTTATGGATAGGTTCACTGGTATCACCAAGAATTAGGGATTTTACAATTACAGTCAACAGCTTTGCTTTAAGAGTAAGTTAGTTATGCTTTAATGTTAAAGGAAAAGCGGTAAGTGTCCCGACAGCAATCCTGCCTCATCTCAGCCTCCAACTATTGTCCCCCTTCGTCTAATGTATCTTATATTGTTCTCCTTCTCTTTTCCAATTACATGGTGGTTGGGTAAGTGAGATTGAGCAAGAACCAGACTGCAGTAACCCAGTGAGTTCCTCTTATTGAACTGCACAGTTTATTATTGGCAATTTTAACTCGGGGCCAACTGTCAGTCACATCTATGTTTTCCTAGTATTTTCTACGTAGACCTTGTTCCATGAACCCGGAACTCCTGCCCATGGCTGCGCATTACTCTTCTGGTCAGGCACGACACGTCCTTGAACAGTCACTGCTAGCAATAGGTTTCAAATTCCTACTACACGATGAGTGATCATTTTACCTGCCAATAGGTGAGCAAGCGATTAACAGGATTCAGACTGCCATGGGTTCATACAGCAAGCGTTAATCCATTTCACTTCCAATTCTTACCCCGCCCAAGGGAGGTGCCGTTAGGTATTTGGGTATCAGAACATTTTAAACACGGGAACATGTGAATATGGGGAATATCGATCTCTAAATCCATCAGCTGATTAAAGAGCCAGGGCCGGTTCCTCATCATTGAACTCGTTGACCCGCGATTTCTTTACCTGTTCAGCAACTCAACTAACAGCGAGTGACCATCATAGGCTGCAACTCAGGCTAGAGCTGGAGTCTGTCTGGAGTCCTCCAGAGAACGGGAGCCGTTTTAATGCAGTGCATTCACTGAACTGAGTTCATTCAAATAATGACCTGATGGGGGGAAGAGAATCACTGCTTAACAACGCAAGCAAATCATTTGCTCCTCATCATCCTTGGTGTTTCTGGCCCGCGATCTTTGAGCGCATGGTTTGCAGTTTTACGCAGTTGGTGGAGGTATTTGTGATAAGAGTCTTAAACCGAAGCGTTTAAAGATCTGCTGGAGTTCTCGCGTCTGCCTCGCCAAACCAGCAATCTTCCAATCTGTTTAGTTTTTCCCCACCTCCGTTACTTGGGAAGCGTGCAATGTGTTCTCAGAGCTGCCGAGGGCATTCAAATCAGCCTGGTAATTGAAGGGTTAATGGCATGGAATTTGCAAAATATTAAACAGATGGTTTCCCCCCTCCCCCCACCTCTTTTTTTGAATGCTTTTAACAACATTGTTAAAAGCTGAGTTAAGTCAACAATTCCTCATAAGTCTTTTAAGGTACACGTCTCCCAATATACCGACTGCTTATTAACCTTTTGAAGGGAGTTTGAGGAAAATAGCTTTGTTTCTCCCCACGGACTTCTAAAGAGTGACAAGCAGCTGCGTACGTTTATTCTGAGAGGTACAATTCCAGAGCAAGGACACAAACGGCGCCTGATAAGTTTTCGTTTAAAATAAAATGCGAAAGAATTTCCATTAAAATGGCATAATTGGTGTTGTCTCTGTCGATAGTGGCGGACATTTGATGTTCATTTATTAAATAGGCGCTAGGCTGCTCCCTAATCTCTTTGTTCAAGACAGACAAATTACCTTACTCACACTGTGGTCAAACTCAGGGGAATTAAACCTCAATGCCTCAGCTAGTTTAATTAGCCTGCAAGTGGGGGGTTGCAAATTACTAATGCACCTCAGGCTTTTAGTCGCTTGATGAAAGGGTAAAAAGAGAAATGCACGAAACTGTTAAAAGTTTGTAACACAGAGAAGCCAAGAAAGTGGAACTCTCTTTTAATTAATTGAATTGGGTGTTCAGTTTAAACCATTGGGTGTCGAACCCTGTTTTGTAAAGGGTTCCAGCATAGAGAAAGAAATGGGATTTACCCATTGCAGCCACTGCATTTCAGACTTCAAAAGAAACTCGCTAATGTTTGTGGAGTAAACTCCCCCACACCCCCCCCCCTGAATGAAATAGTGGGATATGGTTAAAATGTCAAACAGTTTCCTCTAAACACCATGGCAGCTGGTGATTCAGCGATGCTGCTGTTAAATTCAATGTATGCCTGGTCCCTTTTTTGATTACTTAGGGATTTTGCACAGTATCTGTTTTGCACATCTCTTTATCCAACCTTTAAACAAAAAAAATCAATCCGGCCATTTTCTTTGGCATATCATCCACATTGGAGGGATTTGAAATGCAATGATTTAAATCGTATAAAATCTAAATACGTTTTGGTCAGAACATGACAGCTGTCCTGAATAAATGAGTTATTATGAGCTACATTCTGGCTGCAACTCGAAAAATCTAGTTGAAAGCCGGATTAATGTAATGGAGATGTTTACTTTGATGAACTGTTCATCTCAGTAGAACACTATTCTTCTAAGTGAAATGAGACTTTTTTGAAGGTTCCTCTTTGCATTTAGTTCAAGTGGGATGAGCGAATCTAGTTTACGATGCAATTGTTTCTCTCCCAGGCCTAACCCTGTTTCTACTTTGCAGGTTTGCTGAGAAGGTCAGAGCAGTGCAGAAAGCGTGCCTTCATCTTCGATCTGGCTCATCGCAGGTGGACCCCACTTTGTTCCAGTAGACAGTCATGTTTCTTGGCTGGTTTCAATGCCAGGTACACAACATTGCACACTATATACCCTCGCTAGTTTGCTCTCACCAAGCTGTTTCTTGCATTAAAAGTGACTGAGGACACAGATTAAGGACTCCGTGAACCCGGGCTAATGAGACTGTTAAGAAGGGGAAAATAGCCCATCGGAGGACATCTGGAATAATGACAAATTAAACTAATTAATGGAGGTTTTAAAATCTGCTTTGTACCTGCATAACACATAGCAGGGCACTGGCTCTGGTTCTCTCCACCCTCCCCTCCCCCCCGTATTTTATTTTTCTTTACAACATCCTTGCAAATATGTGTTGGCTCTTTGTATTTCTATGTGTTGTAAGGACAGTGTGTTTATTGCTATTAAAATATTAAAAAGGAGGCAATGGGAGAAAAAACAGTGATTTTGTGGTAGTTCTCTATCATAAACACTTTTAGTGGTTCTCTGTACAATATCATGTATGTATGCATGTATGTGATTTGTCAAATGTTGCTTCTCCCCAGCAGAAACATCCCAGCTTTCTAGTATGTAATGTAGGACTTTAAGAATGGAAATTTATTTGTGATATTTTCAAAAAACATTTGCTCTAGTATGGTGTATTTAAATAATAAAAAGCTTGAAATGGGAAAAGATGAGTTTTGTGTATTTTTAACTAGACTTTTAAAGGGTGTCTCGAATCCCGTGCTCTTCCCATTAAAGCAGTTAGGTTGAAATGGGTTTGTCTAATGCTAATTTTAATGCATTCTGTCTGTTTAGCACTAGGCACAAAAAGCGCCTTATGTACTTTAGATTACTGACCTATTAAGTTACAAATGTCATTCATGTTCAGATAATCCACATGCATGTAGTAAAACGACAGCTTTGATCTGCTTATATTGGGGGAGTGGTAATGGATCTGAGAAACTTAAATCCAAACTATAGCATCGTAAATCACCATGATTTCAGATGTGTTTGTAAGCATTTAGCACTAAAAAGTTTTCACTAAAAAGAGGTTAATGAACTTTCCTTAGGAAGAGCTAAAGTTGGAAAACTCACCACTTTTGTGATGTGAATGGAGGAGCCTCTGTGACCTGCAATCTGTCATTTAAATGTATGTTCCCGATATGTTAATGGAAGGTTTATATTCAGAATGAACAAAGCCCCAAATCAGAGTGGCTGAGGTTCCCAGTTTAAAAAGTCATTAAATGAGGATTGAAGTTGATGGAAATGACTTTCTTCTGATTGTTGACTGCATTTCATCTTAAATGATGGATGCACCACATCATTATGGGAGAGCTCTGACAGTTGCTCTTGGACCCAGCATCTGTCTGATACTGCTGAGGTCTTTTATATGTGCATACTTGAATCTGTCTGAAAGCATGTGGGCAACACATTGAAAGTATTTTTTTTCCCTTATTTTTTTAAAAAAACTTTTATTAAAATATAAGTTTTAATGCATTTAGAGTTTAGGTTTTAAACAGGCTTACGTGCTTAGGCCAGATGTTGTATTTTGGAGTTTATGAATGTGACTAAATACAACAGAAGGGACCAAGGCTCTTGTAAAAGAAACCTTGACATTCAGCTATATTAATGTTTTAATCCCATAATCAAATGATGTAACCATATGTCTCAAAACAATACTGTAAAACTGTGCTTTAAACAAACTAATTTTAGGCTTGACACAGTGCCAGAATAAATTATACAATTCTCTCAGAAGTCTGAGGCTGGTTACTTAAGAATTTTGTGATCCATTTACTGACCTTCTTCCCCCTTGATTAATTTATAAAATACTTCAAAAAAAATGGCACTTATTATTTCTCCCTTGTGGTTCAGGAGATTCTTTGGATCATATATCCCTCGCTGAGAGACTAGTAAAGTGACCTGCTTTAAGTCCCTTCCTTGTAAATGTCACTATGTAACCAGTCACTAGAAGAGTAATGCTTCCTTCTACTGTGTGGATGAGTTTGAGTCCACAGAATTGCAGTACTCACTGGAACTGAATTTTACCAGTTTATAACTTCTGAGATTGGCATCTGGGCTTGGGAGGGTGGTTGAAGCTGCTCACTGAATTTCTTGTAGCTGGTGCCTGTCTTACAAATGTTGCAAACTGAATTATTGGATCTCCTTGTGACTAGAAAATGAAAATATTAAATATCTCCTAACAAGATTTTTTTTGTTTTTATTAAAAAAAAGCCTAGTGGGCGGAATACTTTTGCACTGAAAGTGTCTTTGGCCTCGCTCACTGCCATTTAATCTCAATTTACTCCCACATAGCAATTGGTAACTATGGAAAGAATTTCTAATCATCGCAATTTAAGATATCTGGAATAATTCTACCTATGTTTATTTCTGTTAAATACATTGACAGTATGTTCAGACAATATGTCCTTATCAACAAACTGAATCAAGCTAAGCATTGCTGATGGCAGCTACTGATTGTGAGTTTTATATGGTGTGTTTTGCAATTATACCCTGCAAAGCAAAGTAAGTTCACCAGTTTCTGCAATGACCTCTTGGAAATCACCAGTACAGCTTGCCTCAACCTGTGCAAAGTCGTGTTGTCAAATGACAATTACCCACAATAAAGATGGTTTCTTACGACTTCCTACCTGTGAAACTTCATTTAACAGAACTTCTGATACAAATGCTCTTTCTCTGGCCTTTCTGGCTTTGTAACATCTAATTGTAGCTCAAACTTCAGTAAGTTTCAAGTTACTAATTCTAACAAAGTCGATGATGTGCAGTAACACCTGGGTTTCAACCCTGATTACATACATCAGTGCTAGATTTGGGGATATTTTACCCATAATGTGCCTTTTGCATCAAAATACATTTGATTTGTTTAGTCTGGCCACATATGCTTTGCCTGATGTGTCACAATAGCTGCTCCTCCCATTGCTACCATAGTATTTATACAGATTTTAAAGTAGTCTTTATTTTAATCATGTTAAGAATGACTAAAGAACTGACGCAAAATCAATTCCAGCATTTTGTTTTGGATTTCATACTCTTGGGGTAAATGTTTACGCCAATTCTTTTAACACAAGTTATTTGAGATGATTGCAAACAGTAATAAATGGACAGGAGCAACTGATTAGTGTTCCCTTTTAGGCCTCAATAACCCCCAAAATAATGACTTTCAGAAACTACAGCCAAACAGCTTAAATAAATTAAGTTAAAATAATTTGAACTCTGTAAGATGCAGTACTGTGGAGCACTGTTAAAAACAACTTCACGTTGCCAGCAAACAATGTGATCCTAACAGTGATGGCGGAAATTACCTGCTGGCTTGAAACGTAGTTTAACAAACAACATGCCCGAAGTAGGTTTCATTGTTAAATATATAGTTGCATTTTTTTGCTTGTACTGTTATGTTTCATTATCCAGGGTGCAGAGCAAGCAGATTGGAGAATCTCCTGATGAATCTGTTCCCAGGCTTTGCAAAGCGTGCTAATTCATAACTTTACAATGCCTAGGATGATCGGGCAGAGCTGCTTTTTGATGCAAAGTAATTGCTACTAATTGTAGTGGCTGTTTCTGTAGGAAATTGGGGCCATCATTGACTGATTACGTTTCAAACAGCCATTGGGGTGAAATGACTGATTTATCTGGAGGACTGTATCCCAGCATTCTGTTTGTTTTGTTCACCACTGTCTCTCACAAACACAAAACAAGGAAGTCAAGCAACACCTCCAAATCTCTTTTAGCTTCCCTCATGGCAAGATCTATCTCATGCAGGGAAATGTTTTGCCTCCTATTTTTACTTCCAATTTGCAGTTTTGTGCTTTTATCTGTATTGAATTCATTGAAGTGATCAACCCAGATCCATATTCGGTCAAGCTTCTTTTCATTATCATCTTGACTTCTTCTTCGGAGTGTTATCTATGTATTTATGTATTCTGTATTGAATCTAGCAATACAGATCATTTATATGTATTAGATATAACAGTTACCCCAAAGTACTCATTGGGCCAGCCCTCTCAATATCTCCCAACATTTCAATCTAGTTCCTCTTATGACTTCGCTCTGTAGTTTCTCTTCAGCCAATTACCAACATAATAATAACACTAATAATACTTGCATTTGATATAGCACCTTGTCACGTCTTCGAGACATCTCAAAGCGCTTCACACAATATACTTTATTATAGTATATATTGTATATTTTGTGGGCGAAACGTGGCAGCCAATTGCGCACAGCAGTGTCCCACAAACAGTCGTAGATTGAAGTGACCAATTTATTATTTTTTGAAGGAATTATTACCCCCGGAATAGCGGCCTGCCAATCGATTAACAACTGGGTTCCTACTTACTGCTAGGTAAACAGAGCTGTGTGGAGTAAGCAAACTTGCCCAACATTTCGCCCTGCCGGGAATCAAACTCAGCTCTCGCTTGCGAGGCGAGTGCTCTAATCACTGAGCTACAGGACTCCACAACGCATGTCTGGCTTTTTCACTGACATTAGTTTGTAAAGGGAGTGGTACATTGAAGCCAAGTCGTATCCTATATCTTCAACTAAAGTCCATGTCACATATATTTTCTGAACCCTTCCTTCTTCCAGCCTGGGGATATCCAAGGAGGTCAGTGCTCCCACCAGCTGTTGAGATGAGCTAAGAATTGAACCAATTACACCATTTAGGTTACAGTACTACCTCTGGTCACAGCCTTGCCGTCAGGGCAGTGGTACAAGCCCCTAAGCAAGACAGAATTGTTGCCTGTGGAGGTGGTCTACCGTCATCTCCCAAAGTGGATTTTTATCTCATCCACTGAAGCAACATATCTTGCCACAACGAGTTGTATTGCTGAGTACACTGGCCACCATGTTTTCCCCCCTGTGGTGGGTTGAGTTATCAATAGGTTTGGCAATGGTGGTCCGACCAGAATTTCCACTGAGATCAGCGCAGGTTCGTGCAAAGCAAAAAATATATAAACAGTATAAACAACCATATTACTTGAGAACCAGTTGTGTTTCAAACAGTTCTCAAATAATCTATTGTGTAAGACAAATGTAAATTAAAACTTTCCAGTCTATAACCACAAGATATTAGAAAGCCCAAACAATGCATTTTCAACTTGAAAATTTCCACTGAGCACTGTAAATCTGTCTGATTAGAATGTTATCATTAAAGATGAAATGAGTGCTTCATATTTATCTGTAGAATTTGTTTTCTCTGGATTAAAAAATCATGACTGATTTTGTAAATACAGAAGGACCTCATTATACTGTACTTATTTTATTAAGAGATAGAAAAACATTGCATTACAACGAGAGGTCATTGTAAGTGAAAGACGAACAGACGAACTAGATTATACAGAGCCCGACTCCCCTGCTCATTGAAATGGAAGACTTTGAAAATGGTTTGGGTTTGTTAGGCCAGGAAATGTTGTTTTGTTGTTAAAGATTGGATGTTACTGCTCTTTCTTTCAAATGTCAGACTGCTTTCTTTTAAAATTGAACTGCTGTGAGCTGCTTTTTTAAAAAAAAACTTGGCCTTCTGTCTTCAAATTTGACTCAGTAACAAAATGTTACAGTCAGACTATTCTTTTAGTTTGAAAAGAGATTTGCTGTTTTCTTGCTTGGATTGGGCTTCTTTTGCTGCCGATTGTGTTTGACAAAATACACAGTCAATCCACTTCACAATATATTCTGTGAAGTACTTTGAGAAGTCTCAACGACGTGATAAGGCGCTATATCAAATGGAAGGATTATTATTATTATGTGGTTTATTACATGTCCCGGTGTCTCGTTATTCTCAGCGTCCCTGACTTGTTAATCAAAGCATTGGGATCCTCACTCCAATGTATCAAAAATGCCTTTCTTTTCTTTAGATTTGTAAATTCTCTCTACCCCACCCCGCCCCGCAACCACTTGTTTCATTTGTCACTGTCTGGCAAGCTTTCCCACTGCTTGTCCAGCTAGGACCACCCCACAAATAGAACATTGGTTTGTAGGGTTACCAGGAGCTGATTGCTGCATGGAACATTCCAAATCCTCCTGTCTTCCTCTCCCTCTCTACACTCAGCATCCATCTAAAAAATATCAAATGACTGTGCTTCAGGCTACTTGGTGCCTACCACTTATCTCCCATCTGGCTCGGGCTCTCACGCTATTGTTGTAAAATATTTTGAGATGTTCTTTGATATGCAAGCTGTTATGTATGTGCAAATTGGTGTTATTGTTGTGCCATGTACCAACAGAGAAGTTGAGAAGACAACCTAATTTCCAAAGCACTTGATAATGCTTCTCCATCACTATCCATTGAGGGTGTATGAGTAACCTGGGTTAAATTCACTTATTCATTCCCTGCCTGTTTAGTGTTCCTCGGGTGAGAGATTTAGATTTGTCAACATAAATTGAGTACAAATTTGGCTGAAAGATCTA